TCTTCAGGGGATAGCACAGCTCTCCTTGCAAACGAGCATTGGAGGGGGACTCTGTGAGGGTAGGCAGGATCACCGTAGATGCATAGTGGCTGACCTGTTGGTGAAAAAGAATATGTCTCCAGCTCCTCCAACAGACCACACTGTCGTGTCGCCTTCCTTCAACTGGTCCAAACAAATTAGCAATTAGACCATTGGGTGCAACAACTGACTGAAACTTTATCGCATGTACTCTCTTATGCCCATTGTAAATTACTCGTTGGTTTTGCTTTGGCCTACAAAAAGGTCGCACAGTACCATCGATGAAACCCCAGGAGTTATCGAGAGCAGCGCCTTTCTGGTAAATTGCATCTGCATATCTTTGTAAATTTTCTCTTGAAAGAAAAGCCTGGTTTAGACTTCTCAAGAATAGTGTCTTGGTAGCCGTCCGTGTGTGTCAACCATAAAGTCAATCACTATATTTGTTATCATGCAGAGCTGTTGAACCGGCCTACCAAACCTCGGTACTAAGTCTGCATATCGACAAGGATATGCCATACGTTTGAAACAGGTGCAGAGAGCCTCGATGGAACGACAACAACGCCATTCGCACATCTAAAATCCGCGGGGAGACGAAGTGCAACAGCAAGGTTATAAATGTCCTCCTTCTTAAAAAGAAACTCGACCAAACATTCGCTTTCTTCCATGTCCTCTAAAACAAAACGATCATAATTTTGATACAGTAGCATAGCGTGAAGATTATTTCTTCTATTGGCGTTGTCAAAAATCAGAAGTTCTTTGTCATCCAAGAGTCCTGCAGCATGCAGCATTATAAGTTCCTCTGCCATTTTTAACACAAATTTGATTTTGGGCGCCAATGCTGCGTACTACCAATGAGGTCGTGATTCGTAACATGTTTTGTGACTACGGGGAGGCAAAACTAGTGCACAGACCACTTTGAGTAGCCGTAGTGACCTAAGTAGTGAATCGTAAACTCTCTATTGTTTGCTTTGATACATTGAATTCGGCAGCAGCTTTCCTTACACTCCAGGAATCTGGAACCAATGTCAGCACCTGCAAGTGTTGCTTCGATTTGATATTTTCAATTTTTTTTCCATAAGCTCAACGAGCTCGTCAAGGTCTCTAGCTTTTTGCATCAAGACTTCACTTTGTTCTTGCTGATTTCCATCATCTTCAGGTAATTTTGTGGTGTCAACTTCTAAGACCTTGGCAACCTTCTTTGAGAAAGCTTCTTTGACCTGTGCTAACTTTCGTTTGCCATGACTTAACTTTGCATGCTTTGGTAGAGAATGGAGCTTGATAGGTGAGACTTCTATATCTTCCAACGAAGCATTTAAGCTATCTTTGTCTGTGTCAGTTGGTGCATCTTTATCACATACTTCATCATCATTCACTTCATCGATGTTATAAACCCCAGATTTTTTCACATCATCATGAATTTTGGTAGTTGCCTGTATACGACAGTTGGGGCAAAGTTTTTTACCAGGGATGATATGGTTACCAAGATCAGAAAGCTCCTTTGCAAGGGATAGCTTTACCTCCCTTAAAGTGGTTATGACATGTTTTTCAAGATATTGGGTTTCTTCCTTTCCCAAAAAATTTAAGCTTTTCTGGTTAGTTTGATGCCAAATTTTCCAAGATATAACGTTCCAAACTATATTTAAATTTTTTTAAAAAAAGTACTGTGTGTGGGACGTTTTCAAAATTAAACATGGGCAGCGCGTGACGTCATAAGTAGGACACTTTCGGGATGTTAACATTTTGAACAGACATAGTGCAGCGTGCGATTTCATTCGTGTCGCGAGAAGATAGTTTTAATAAGCAATACTGCACAGGCTTCAAGTGATTCAAACGACAGTATCAGAACGGTATCTGATGGCGATATCAGTAGTGAATGTTCAAGCGGAGGCGATTACGAAATTGTGAACATGGGGGCAAATCTTCCTTATCAAGACGAACCTCTCGCCATTCCTGGCCAAACTTTTAACTTCGAAGAAGACAGAGACGGAATCCCACGCGATGTTTTCGAAGCCAGGTCTGAGAATAGAATCGCGGTTGCAGACTGGTATGTTTAGCTTAAATTATTCAACATTTCCAAACTATAGTTGATTTGTGTAAATTATTTTATAACATGCATGTCATATCATAACTTTTTAGGCCATTCACCCTAGCGTATTTTTTATTCAGGTGTAATTGTAACGGTTGCAAAACTGAGCACTTGGTTGGGGCTCTAGAATTTCGTTGCTGCCAAGAAGTGAATGAAGCAGGTGGAAAGTTGGTGTTTGAGGGTCGAGAGGACATCATAGACAGGTCATTTGCTGGAAAAATTAGGCCTTTTTTCCTGTCAAGGTTTTCTCTTCGGATTCCTTGCCAAGAGACATGCTGGAATAGATTAAGACTTGGGGCATGTTGAAATTTGCCGAAAATTTCAAAATGGCGGAATTTTTCAAAATGGCGAATTTTTTACAATGTTTTGGCTACAATGTATCGATATGGTCTTCTAAGACGAGCATTACTTGGCACCAAAGTGTCTTAAAATGTTAAAAGCACGTTTGTTGTCATGACTGATCTTAAAGAAATCAAAATGGTATACTTTTGATAATTCTGATGGCCGACAACCTACTTGGGCGGCTTCTATCCCATAATGGTCAATTTGATTATCCTTGGAAAAAAGTATTCTTGCCTCAGACTAAAGGAATGGTGGATGAATGCCGATGTAATAGCTCAAGGGTCTGCTGGTCAAGCGATGAAGGGAAGGCATTGCCATAGAAGCATAAGGCTACAAAAACAGGCTTTTGAAGCCTTGCTTCGCTATCAAATGTAGGGTGTCCTGAACAAAGGTGAATTCAGTCGAAGATTCAAAAGGAAAATTGTGAATTTGAGGCTTGTCCAATCAACCGCCAATTTGAAGTCCATAACTAATTCACAAGAATTCAAACAGATTATGAACAATTTAACAGATGCCTTTGACACACAGGATCAAATGATGATGCAATACATTCGTGATGTCTCGGCTCTATGTATGTTCGTCAGTGGCTTAAAGTGAAAAAAACAATTGAGCGCCATTTCAGCAGCAGAGCGTGTTTTGTTTGCAGAGTGGTTTTGCATTTGGGCATCAAAACTAATACGCCCGTTACCATGACATTTCAACATTCAGCTGCAGGGATATTAAGATCGAAGCAAGAGCGAGCATGAATGACCTTCTGGTTAATGGGCTTTGGAGTCAGTCTCTGGCAAACCATACTTGACTAATACTTGACTTATGTGATTGATGAACGAACAACCATTAACAAAAAGGTAACGTCAGAGGGAGCCCATGCAAGGTGGATTTAGCACTATGAGAAGGCTCCTGTGGATATTTGTAAAGAAGTCTTTCATGGTATAACTGTTGAGCCATACTGAAAGACGTTCTGAATGTTTTTGACGCGTCCCGTTTCACAAGAAACAACTGTTTGTGTCGCGATAAAGAAGCAACGAGGCACGGATGCCGAGATCTTGTTTTTGCAGCTTGATAGTTATTATGATCCATTCCTTGATGGTCTGCAAGACATTTCAAAAAAATGGAAGCCGAATGAGCCAATCGGTCATTGAGGGACTTCTGATTCATCTGCAGTAGGAGAAGAATGTATGCTGAATTTATTGACGAAAGACTCAAGCAAAGAAGTAGGGTTTAGTAATTTGCCCGTCCCATGCCAGTTTTTGATCCAGGATTTTTATTGATCGCAAATTTTACTTGTACACTTAATAGCTTTATCTTTGCTTTGGAGTTTTCGTCAATAAATTCACGCATACATTGCTTCTAACTGCAGCATGAGACTTCAGAAGTCCCAATGCCGATGGTCGTTATTTCGGTCAGTTTTGAAATGTCTTGCAGGACATCTTAGGAATGGATCATAATACTTATAAGCTGCAAACAATTTCTTCGTCATTGCCTCGTGCTTCTTTTCGCCAACAGTTGTTTCTTTTAGTGAACGGACTGCGTCAAACCATTCTAAACGTTCTTTCAGTAGGCTCAAACTAGTAAGCACTTTGAAATGATGGTCTCTTACAAAGGCTTCCACAGCTTCTTCATCGGTGCTTAAATCCACCTTGCATGGGGCCTCGCTCTTGAGCCGTTTACCTGTATTTTTGTAATTGGATTTGTTTGTTATCAAGTCACTATTTATAGTCAAGTCACTCTAGTCAAAGTATGGTTTTTACTCATGCCAGAGACTGTACCTCATAAGCCTTTAACCAGAAGGGTCATTACCATGCTCGCTCTTGCTTCGATCTCAATATCCTGCAGCTCCTGATGTTTGTGAGAATGTCCACGGTACGGTATAGTTTTTGATGCCTGAGATCAAGCAAACACTGTGGCAGACAAAAACAACCTCTGCTGCTAAAATGGCGCTCATTGTTTTTTTCACTTTTACAGCAATGGACGAATGCATAAATAGCTCGAGACATTCAGAAGAATAATTGACATATCATTTGAATTTACTGATGTGTCAAAGGTTGTTAATTGTTTCATAATCGTTTGAATTCTCTTGTGAATTATTCATGGGACTTCAAATTGGCGGTTGATTGGACAAGCCTCAATTCACAATCATTTCCTTTTGTAATCTTCGACTTGAATTCACCTTTGGTTCATGGACACCCTACAGTTTGATAGCGAAGAAGGCTTCAAAAAGCTGTTTTTAAGTAGCTTTGCTTCTATGGCCAATCTATTCCTTCAGACGCTTGACCAGCACGCCTTGGCTATTACATCGGCAATTCATCCACATTCCTTTAGTCTGGGCAAGAATCTTTTCCAAGGAAATAATGACCATTATGGGATAGAAGCCTGCCACAATAGGTTGTGCGCCATCAGCAATTATCAAAAGAATCATTTTCGTTTCTTGTAAGATACGTCATGACACAAACG